ATTATTAATTATTATTATTATTATTATTAAGAGCAACAAAGATTATTAGAGGTCTGGAGGCTAAAACATACAAGGGACGGTTTCTGGAATTGGGTATGTCTAGTTTAATGAAGAGAAGGACGAGGGGGGACATGATAGCCATCTTCCAATATCTCAGGGGCTGCCCCAAAGAAGAGGGAGTCAAGCTATTCTCCAAAGCCCCTGAAGGCAGGACAAGAAGCAACGGGTGGAAACTCATCAAGGAGAGAAGCAACCTAGAACTAAGGAGAAACTTCCTGACAGTTAGAACAATTAACCAGTGGAACAACCTGCCTCCAGAAGCGGTGAATGCTCCAACACTGGAGGTTTTTAAGAAGAGACTGGACAGCCATTTGTCTGAAATGGGATAGGGTTTCCTGCCTGAGCAGGGGGTTGGACTAGATGACCTCCAAGGTTCCTTCCAACTTTATTATTATTATTATTATTATTATTATTATTATTATTATTATTATTATTATTATTATTATTATTATTATTAATTATTATTATTATTAAGAGCAACAAAGATTATTAGAGGTCTGGAGGCTAAAACATACAAGGGACGGTTGCTGGAATTGGGTATGTCTAGTTTAATGAAGAGAAGGACCAGGGGGGGACATGATAGCCATCTTCCAATATCTCAGGGGCTGCCCCAAAGAAGAGGGAGTCAAGCTATTCTCCAAAGCCCCTGAAGGCAGGACAAGAAGCAACGGGTGGAAACTCATCAAGGAGAGAAGCAACCTAGAACTAAGGAGAAACTTCCTGACAGTGAGAACAATTGGGACCAGCAACTTGGCCACTCACTGTGTAAAGCATTCGCTAAGTGCTTATGGTCTTCCGTCAGCTTTCCTTTTCTTTATAGACGGTTTTCTCCATTTCAGCAACTTTAAAGAGGGGTGGACTTCAACTCCCAGAATTCCCAGGCGGCTGGGGAATTCTGGGAGCTGTAGTCCACCCGTCTTAAAGTTGCCAGGGGTTGAAAAAAACCACACTAAGTCAAGCTTACCTATTCATTTAGCTGTCAACCTTTGAGCAATAAAGATCTCCATCAGCCTTTAATCATGCTCTTCTCACAAGTACTATTTTGTAGTGTGTTATTTTGCTATCTCATCTAGAAAGGATGTGAGAATCCTTTGCCCAGAAATCTGAAAAGCACTTAGGTTTTTATGGAGCTATAAATGAGAAAGTAGATGGGCAAAGGGCGTAGTAGGTTCCCAGGGGAGCCATGGGAGATCAAGAACAGGGCAGCGTAGCTTAGCAGGGTGGAGTAAACAAGGGCAAACTAGGGGTGGGGCTGGGCATGTTTCACTTCGATGTATTTATTATCTTCCTGTTTTATTAGATTTTTTTTATCCTGCCTTTATTGCTTTATATTAACTCAAGGTGGTGAACGTACCTAATACTTCTTCCTCCTATTTTTCCCACAACGACCCTGTGAGGTGGGTTGGGGTGAGAGGGAGGGAGGGACTGGCCCAAAGTCACCCAGCTGGCTTTCATGCCTAAGGCGGGACTAGAACTCCCAGGCTCCTGGTGATTGGCTCAAAATCACCCAGCTAGCTTTCATGCCTAAGGCAGGACTAGAACTCCCAATCTCCTGGTGATTGGCCCAAAGTCACCCAGCTGGCTTTCATGCCTAAGGCGGGACTAGAACTCCCAGGCTCCTGGTGTGGCTCAAAATCACCCAACTAGCTTTCATGTCCAGGGGGTTGGACTAGATGACCTCCAAGGTCCCTTCCAACTTTATTATTATTATTATTATTATTATTAATTATTATTGCACAGAACGGAATTCAGAATATACAGCTAGTTACAATCATTGGTTTAGTCTTAGTGATTGTTTGAAGTTTATAACGGCACTGGAAAAAGTGACTTAGGACCTTTTTCACATTTACGACCGTTGCAGCATCCTCGTGGTCACGTGATCAAAATTCAGACGCTTGCCAACTGACTCGTATTTATGACGGTCGCAGCGTCCTGGGGGTCACGCGTTCCCCTTTTGCGACCTTATGACAAACGAAGTCAACGGGGGAAAGCCCGATTAGCTTCCTAGCCGTGTTACCAACTGATCTTCAATAATTCACTTAAAAACTGTGAGGAAAAAAGGTTGTAAAATGGGGCCAAAATCACTTAACAACTGTCTCGCTTAGCAACAGGACTTTTGTGGCTCAATTGTGTTCGTACGTCGAGGACTACCTGTTATCACACTCTCCCCATGGAGAAACAGCTCTTCTAATGAAGGACACCCCGCCCCCCAAAAAAAGAAATTAAGAATGACAGCCAAGAGCTGGCTGAAGATGAATTTCAGAAGGGAGACAATATAGTCGAACACGCCGTAGGCGACACTCCGAGGTGTGATGAAAAAGTTCCATTTTTAGTCACTCGCCTATATTTTCCTGGCAAAACGTCCCATATAACGCATCTTTAAAAAAAAAAAAAAAAAAGTAAGTAAAAGAAAACCCACACAAACGTGTCAGCTGTCAAACCACAGAAGGCCTGCGAAGAATTTTAAAAAAGGAAGAAAGAAGAAGAAGGAAGAAGGAAGAAGGAAGAAGGAAGAAGGAAGAAGAAGAAGAAAGGAATTGAGGACTAACGAGGCCTTTGGCCGTCTGCAGCTTGGCTGGGTGTCAAGGGATCATTGTGCTGCTTACACAATTCAATCACCTACAATTTAATCACCTCAGTTTCAGAAGAAACCAGAACCGAAGGGCGTGATAAAGCGGACGGTGACCTGGATAGGTGGGAGAAGACGCAGATGTTAAAAATAAACTGTGACTACGCTTAGCTCTTTCTCTAGGATGGAGGGGAGGAGAGCTCACAGCTCAGAAAGGATAGATCTATTACACACACACACACACACAAAGAAACCTTGCAGTGGGCATGCGACAGAAAGGAGAGAGACTAGCATCATTTTAGGACAGGGGTGGGAAACTGCAGTTAGTCCTTCCAACTTGCAACAGTTCATTTGGTGACCGCTTAAAGTTACGGCACCAAAAAAAGTGACTTATGACTGTTTTTCACACTTACGTCCGTCGCAGCATCCCCATAATCACGGGATCAAAATTCAGACGCTTGTCAACTGACTCATGGTTATATGACTATCGCAGTGTGCTGTGGTCTTGTGATCCCCTTTTGCCAGATGCAAAGTCCATGTGGAAGCCGGTTTCACTTAACGTCCGTGTTCCTAACTGAACAACTGTGGTGATCCACTTAACCAACGTGGCAAGAAAGGTCGTAAAACGGGGCCAAAAATCACTTTAATAACCACAGATATTTGGGGCCCCATTGTAGCCGTAAGTCAAGGGCTACCTGGGTTTTTCAACCGTGGCAAGTTTTAAGATGGGTGGGTCTCCCTAACCGGCATGGTGTTAAGATGGATGGACTTCAACTCCCAGACCTGCTCAGCCAGCACGCTTTAGGGGCTGTGGGGACTTCAACTCCCAGAATTCCCCCCGGTCAGCAAACTCCTAGAACAGGGGTCTTCGAACTCGGCCCTTTGTGGACAGAATTCCTCAGCGTGCCTGGCTGAGGAATTCTGGGAGCTGAAGTCCACAAGTCATCCAAGGGCCAAGTTTGAAGACCCGTCTTAAATCTAACAAACAAAATGGAGGCTGGCTGAGGAATTCTGGGAGTTGAAGTCCACAAGTCATCAAAGGGCCAAGTTTGAAGACCCCTGTCTTAAATCTAACAAACAAAATGGGAGGCTGGCTGAGGAATTCTGGGAGTTGAAGTCCACAAGTCATCCAAGGGCCAAGTTTGAAGACCCCTGTCTTAAATCTAACAAACAAAATGGGAGGCTGGCTGAGGAATTCTGGGAGCTGAAGCCCACAAGTCATCAAAGGGCCAAGTTTGAAGACCCCTGTCCTAGAATGTCCATCCCAAATCAATGCCAACAGAGTTTGTGAGAATGTGAGTTAAATGCAATAGGATCAAAGGAGCTCCAGCTTGCTCTAATCACCACTTTGCAAGGTAGCTTAGGATGAAAAGCCCAAGTGGCTGCAGATGATGCGTTGGTTGAGTTGAGGATTTTCCTAGGCTGAATCCACCCAGGCTCCTGTCGTTACGGGTTCTCCTTTGTTCGCTTATCCCAAAACGCCTCTGGGAGAGGAGACAGAAACCGTGTGAAGAATTGTGTGTGTGTGTGTGTGTGTGTAAAGAATACAAGGAATGGCTTGCTCAGGCTACACAGCCCAAACCTTTTCCCCTATTCAGCTGTTGCATAGGCTGCTTCATGCAAATCCTGCGGGTTGCCAGTCAGCCAGTAAGGCATGTTCTCACTTGCAAAAAAATATATATATTGTTTTCATCAACGGCCTGCAGCACTGGAAGCTCAGGTGTTTCGCAGCTGCGGCTTTCCACCCCAGCACTATCAACAAGCTTCACCTGATTAAAAATGGGTGGCAGGTCTTTTAACCCCCCCCATGGGTAAAGCACTGATTTCATGCAGGGGGGGGGAAGCAGCAGCCGCAGCAAGGCTAACCGGCAGCTATTTGCATATGTAAAAGAGCAAGGAAGAAGAGAAATTGGTGTTTTTTTTCCCCTTCCCAGGTAAGACCGCTGAAGGTGAGGCAGCTGTGAAAGCAGCGCTCGCCCTACCTCTTAACACCCCGTGCCGGCTCCCGAGAAGCAGAACCTCCTTATTCAGAGGGAGTCTACCTGCCAATCTGATTTCTTCCCCGAGAGACAAAAATCTTGTGGGTTTTTTCTTTTTTTTTTCATTCTCTTCCAGCAAATCTCCTTTTCAGTTCAGATCCAAAAATTATGATCCACCCTCTTTTGAGGGCATTTTTTTTTCCCCCTCTCGGTCTCTCTCTAGCTGTTGGATGTCCAAAACTTAATTCAGCCCATTTGGTAATAAGGCACGTCGGGGGGGGGGGGGGAATCTTTCCGCTTTTCAGTTCATTAAATCAAAGACTTTTTTTCTTTTTTCTTTTTTTTTTAAGTGATCTATTCAAGTCACCTCCTTCAAAAAGTGGAAAACGAGCCTCTTCAGGGTGAACTCACCCCCTAAATAGGGAGACCCCATTTATTATGCTGCTGCCATTAAAAATAATGAATTAACTGGCGTCCTTTAGAGGTTCCCTCGCCTGCTGCCACATCAGTGGTGTTGACCTTGATTCATACAATCCGCAGCTAGCCTGGTCCACAACTGTCGGCTTTAAAACAAAGGTCTCTGTGTGTGTCTATCAAAGGGGAGCAGAGGAGGGACAGGAAGATTTAAAGAACCGTTTCAGAGGCAGTTCTGTCCGTTTTGGTTCAAGCGGAGATCTTGCTGGGCGTCTAGAAAGTCCTGTCTTTTTCCCGTTGGGTGGGAAAGTCCGTGTTCTCATGGTTGTCCATCCCCACAATATAACACTGGGGCAACATTTCTTCCAGGAGAATCCGAATTAACAGCGGGTGAGGAACAGAAGGAAGGCTGGAGACATCTAAGCGTTCCAAATTTCTGCAAGAGAATTAATGTAGGGGTTTTCCCATTGCTTCCATGCCGTTTCCTTATTTACTTTTTGTTTATATCCCACCTTTATTATTTTTACAAATAGATGGTAAACATGCCTAATACTAATACGTCTTCCTAATTGCCCCGTAATAACAATCCTGCAAGGTGGACTGGCTAAGGGAGAGGGATTGGCTCAAAGACATCCAGTCGGCTTTCATGCCTAAGGTGGGACTAGAACTCACAGCCTCCTAGTGATTGGCCCAAAGTCACCCAGTCGGCTTTCATGCCTAAGGTGGGACTAGAACTCCCAGTCTTCTGGTGATTGGCCCAAAGTCACCCAGTCAGCTTTCATGCCCAAGGCGGGACTAGAAGTCTTGTCTCTTGGTGATTGGCCCAAAGTCACCCAGTCAGCTTTCACCAGGAGGCTGTGAGTTCTAGTCCTGCCTTAGGCATGAAAGCCAGCTGGGTGACTTTGGGCTAATCACTAGAAGGCAGTGAGTTCTAGTCCCACCTCAGGCATGAAAACCAGTTGGGTGACTCTGGGCCAATCACCAGGAGACTGGGAGTCCTAGTCCTGCCTTAGGCATGAAAGCCAGCTGGGTGACTTTGGGCCAATCACCAGGAGGCTGTGAGTTCTAGTCCCACTTTAGGCATGAAAACCAGGTGGTGACCTTATGCAACTCCTTATCTCAGCCTAACTCATCTTTCAGGACTGTTGCGAGGGAAACAGGAGGAAATTGTGTTGGATAGGTCAGTCACCTTTGAGTTATTGGTAAAAATGATTAAAGGCAGGATGCAAATAAATATATCACTCTCCCAGAGGTACCAGACTGTACCCCCCTGGCGTACAGACTGAGCTTACGATGGAAGAGTTCAAAATTCAAGCGGAGTATGTTGTAGTGAGTGCGGAAGAATGGGTCGGGCTACATGACCTCTAAAATCCCCTTCCAACTCAAGGATGCTATGACTCACACCACGATCTAAGGCGCTTGGTATTCCCTGGGAAAAGCTCCAGGTCTGCTTCTCTCTTTTCCCAGCCCTGGAGGGAAGCCCCGTGATTGAGACACGCCGATCCGCGGCTGCGCTTACTGAAAGTGGTGGAGACACGTCAGCCCTTTCTCAGTGATCCGGGAACAGCCCGCCAAAGACAAGGTTTGCAGGCTCTCCGCGAAGGGGTGCAGCTGGCTCAGGCACCAGTCATCGATGGAGGAGCACCTGCTCAGGTCCAAATGCTTCAGGCCCGTCAGGCTACCTGTGGGAGGATCCAGGAGGAAAGGAAGATTGAAAGCAGGTGCCAAACTCAAAGGCACAACCACACCTGAAAGTCTGGGGAAACATCTGGGCTACTTTTGCAGTAAAGAAAAAAAAAGAAAAACAGGCCCAAGGTTGCAAATGGCCCCATAACTCATGGCGGGCAGGAAAGTTAGATGTCATTAAAGTTTACGGGGTGCAGATTATGAATGTGGGCTAGGCCACAGCTAGGGTGGTGTAGCGGCTCTGGTGCCAGACTGGGAGTGGAGAGACACACACCTTCAAGTCTCTCCCCCCACTCCCCCCCCCATGCAAGTTTAGCAAGTGAGGTCTGAGCTGTCCCTCTTACTATCGCACCTCACAAAGGTGCTGCTGCAGTGGTAAAGAATGGGAATTTGCTACGTCAGGGTCCCCCACCTCCACCCCCACCCCCAGGCCGTTCAGAACTGGCGCCGAACGGCTGAGCGTGCACACATCCCCACTTGGTTCTCTCTCCACCCCCAGAAAGGTTGAGGAATTCTTGTGCTACGTAAGCCTGTAAAGAAAAGCAAGGTATAAAATCCATCCAAGTAGGAGGAGGGAGGTGAGGGGGAGGAGGGGAGAAGGAACAGGGGGAGGAGGGGTAATGAGGAGGAGAGGGAGGGGGGCAATGGGAAGGAGGAAGAGCAGGAGAGACAGGGGGGA